TTAAGATAAAAGAGGCTATTTATATTCAGAGAGAACAACCCTCTTTGAATCAACAATTACACCAAGTCAACCTTAAACTATCTTTTGATTCCCACAATTTCATGCTATACTTCATTCCGTTGTTACTACTTTTCACATTAGCATTTTCTATTTATTATAAATTCAGCTTCCATAGCTTTGTATTCTGACTAACTGAGGATGGCAGTCTAAGTTTATGTCAAAACATGTTTTATAAACTTAAAGGTTTTGTCGTTTTCTTAAAATACATTTTAGATTATGTTCACACTTGGTGCCCAAGTACGGTGCTGAGTACGATCCTTGCTGGACACTAATGCCCCTAATAGGGTTCCGTTTCGGTGAGATTTCCAGCTTAACTAAGTGATGACAAACATATATAATCAGGTATAAGTTTGGTGTTTTCAGCAGTAAATCTGTACCAAGCATAAAATGCTTCTCGGGCCCAAGATGAGTTAAGACGATTGTGCCTCAGAAAACCAAGTGTAGTGTGCAGCCAGCATTTAAATGGATATTTTAGCACCATTTATAGACTTCAAACTGCCTTTCATTCAACTTAAGGGTCAAGCTGAAATTTTTGCAGCTGAAATTTTTGCACCTGAAATTTTAGCAAATCAACACAGATTTGTGTTTCAAGAGATCCAATTGCATTAACAAAACAATAGCTGGAAAACACCTTACACTATTTGCAGATAACTCAGAACTTACTGGCAGTCCTTGGCTGTTTTTCCATTGATTCTTTGTCTTCAGTAGAAACCAGAACTAGTAGAATAACATTACATAAAGTCACCTAAAATATTTATTGTTATCATTGTGGTAGTCTAGGATCTTAATTTTGGAATCACTCAAGTAACCCTCCTCCACCTTCATTGTGGAGTGGAAGTTCCAGATCTTAAATCGGCATCTACCTTGTGTAGAAGACACAGACTTAAAACAATAGAACAAAAATCGTGAAACAATACCTATTCAGAATTCGAAAGCCCTAAAGACCCCTAAAGCTTTTGTTACATCATCTGTGTCTTCTACACAAAGTAAAAGCCTAATTTAGAGTTACAATTTTGGAATAAGTCCAGTCCACACTCCACACTCTGACAACTTTGATCTCAGAATCAAGAATGCTTCAGATGATAGATTATGATTACAAAATTAAGTCACAGATATACAGTTCCATTCACCAACACTAAATATTTGTCTCCTCTACAACCATTTTTTGGGATGTCACGCAACGTTTCCCCCAAAGAAACCACTGCTCACATCCAGAGGCATAGGTCTCCTCTCTGGTGGAATTTTATTAGCACTGACTCGCATCTTTGCAAGAGGTAGACACACAGTCATGTTACCCATTTTGAGGGACAAAACATGGGCTTGTGGCTGCCGTGATTAATGGCAGTTGCCATGGCAACAGTAATTCAGCTGGCCCAAATATGGTTGTTTTCATTCACCCTTCCAGGCAACATATCTCCACACAAAAAATGAGCAGGGAGTTTAAGATTTCCATTTCCAACTTTGCTTGACTTTCTCAGAGAACTGCTCTTAAATATGTGCCCAACTTTCCAATATGATGACATATATATTCATACTTAATGAGTTAGGAAAGTTGAATCTGCCATACTGTAATGCATGTGCAGTTGATACCAGGGCTGTCATTAAGGGCCGTAAGCCATAACACCTGTTACGGCTGAGTTTGCTTGATTTTCCCTTGATGCTACGGATGAAATTCCCTGTTGTTTAGAGAATTCACCCACAAAGTAACAAATTTGCTATGGGTGTGGAGAATAAGACTACAGGTGACTAAAAAAATGACAACCCTGGATACGATTCCAGACTTGGCGCTGACCAAAAGGCATGTGGGCTCTGGCAATGAGATAATGAAATGCCTCAATTTATTACTTAATAGAAGTAAAACTTTCTTACCTATCACAAGTCCTTTCACTCCATATTTAATTGACAGTTTTAATCTCTTGTCCTAAACATCTGCAGTCTTTTTGTTTATTATACAGCAGCCAGATGAGAGAGGTATTGAAACTTCCATTGCAACAATGCAATTGAATTCTTTTTCTGTCTTGCATTCTTCTTTCAGCTTAGTTACTGACTGAGAAGCCTGACTGAAAAAATCCTTCAATCGCTGGCCTGCTAGTTGAGCGTTTCTGGAAGCAGGCACTGATTGTAGTGAATTGAGTCCTTCAAAAAAATCATTCATCCTCACAGCTCTGTACAAGGAAAAAATTGAGTCTCATTATAGATTTACATGTATGGAACGAACATTGGAAAACTATGCTGAATCAGGGGCTTCTTTTGAAAACAGCAAAGAAATGATGAAACTGTGAAGGTCCCTCCCTATTGATCTTGCTCTATGCTGCATGTATGGCATCAACGAACAATTATTTTAAATTTTAATCAGGCACTTTTTCAGCTTGTAACATTTTCACAATAATATACCCTGTAAACCTCTCACTGTCACACATTCCAAAAAAGCTGGATGTATTTATTAGCCAATGAGAAAATGTGGCACAGTTATTAAAGTGAGAATGTTACCACAAGCTTAATAGCTTATTTAAAATTGTTGTCTGGAAATGGAAAAGTTTTCCCCTATGCAACTTCGCTTCCATGACAGTAGATGATGTTCTCTCATCCTATTGCATTGAAAGGACACTAACTACTTGTGTTTTCTTTTGTGATCTTTTAAATAACCATAAATTGAAGAAAAGGAGGCAACTATAGGACTTGGGGTAACAGTTGAGAATTCAGAGAATTAATATAAGAGCCAAATGTACCAAAATTTCTGTTCCCCTCCGCACAGTCATTGCTTGAAGCTCTGTGATCTTAGAAATGCATGCCGGAGAAAAGCAAAGCTGGTGCAAATATAGCTTTCAGAGAGTGCTTAAGTCTCAGTAGGTCACTGGAACAATGACATGAATTCCTATCAAACTACAACAAGATAGCTGTCTATTTCCCGTCCACAACAGACATCATTATTACTATGGAATGACCCTATAAATCATGTAAATGACATGCAGCTTATACGGTACGTAATAATGCCTACATTATTTTATTTGTTGAGGCAGGTCAGAAAAAACCAGGTACCTTACAAAGCTGAAGTGGACATGTCCAAAGACTTGGATTATGTTGCATGCGAAACTGTGACCTTTCACACGAAAACGTATACTAATAGTTCTGTGTTAGACAAGTAAAAATCAATGTAGCCACGTTGATAGTCAACGCTTTTCAACACACTTTGAAAATGCTTTACAGCTGCTTTTTAAATAGGGAGCCATTCAAGAAATGGCCATAGTGGTAGAAATGTCTAAACAGCACTGCACTGTTACTAGTAGAAATGAACAAATCGAAATGGACGGCACGATCATCACATCGTGCCATCAATTTGTACATCATTGAGTATCTGATGACATATCTCGAGGCTGGTTTTCACTAGCGATGGAGTCGGAGTCGGAGTTGTAATCAGAAGCGCAGAGCAATACGATCTAGTGAAAATCAAACTCTCGGAGTCAGAAGCAGAATATTGATTCCACTTATGACTCTGTCACTTATGATCCAGTGAAAGCTGCATTGTCAGGGTCGGAAGCAGAAGTGGAAGAATAAAGCAGTCAAAATTCTCGATTCCAAGCATTGTGATTGCTTGGTTCTTCCACTTCTGCTTCCAACTCCGACAATCTAGTTTTCACTGGATCATAAGCGACTGAGTCATAAGAGGAGTCGGAAGAAAATGGGAACAACTCCGACTACGACTCTGACTCCATCGCTAGTGAAAACACCCTTCAGAGAATGCTTGTGTAATCTAATGCTGATCTAAAATCATAACAATGCTACCTTCATGAGTGTCGTCGAGCTCAAATCGTCTACAGTACTGCCTGAAAATTCCTGTTTAACCCTTTAACCTCTAAGAGTGACGAGCTTCTATCTATTTTCTCCTTTTAATACCACTACTTAATTAAACACAAAGGTAATAAGAATATAGGAAAAGATCACCATGTAAAAGATGTCTTGAATATTAAATAATAAATATGCGGTGATCTCAGGGATTAACGTGAGGATTCACACGATTTCCAATCCAATCATCAGTAAACATGCGGAAATTTGCATAATGTTTGCAAGCGTTGACTACCCACCGTTAGTGTATGTTTTCGCGTGAAAGCACAGACTTTTCGTCAGACAAATCTGCAGTTCAACAAGCCCGCATAAACATATCAGAATTTTGCAATTCCTTTACTGCGCACCATAAGGCAGAAAGTATGTCTGTATGTAAAGCTTTAACGACTTCGACGGCAGCAGTTACAGCCAATGATGATGTTGTTGTTGATGAACAAAACTTAATAGTCGTTCATATTTTTTCCGTTTTCCTTAATTCCTCACATAAATGTCATTTAATCAGTAATCAATGCAGTCATTGCAATCGATGAGTAAGCTTTTAACGTTGCACGATGTTGCGATAAAAAAATATATAGATAATATCTATAGATATATATATAATATATCTTAATTAACTTACCACACCACTTTCGACTTCATCTCCAAAATATTTCATGATAAAGGTTGTGTTGCTAAAACTAGAGCCAACCACGGGAAAACGTTTGTCTTCAAACTTAATAAGGTAAAAAAGTGGACTGGCCATGGACAAATTCGTTAATGCACTCCTAAGTTTTTCGTCGTCAGCCATGTTTTTTTTCACGTCGCGTGATACGATGACGTAGTACTGGGCAGGGTTACCACGCTAAGCCTATTAGTTAATCATTATTTAAATAGTTACCATACTATCCCGTGGGCGACTGGGGACGAGGTAGCCCTTGCCCCAAGCGGTCCTGGAAACTAGTTTAAAGGCAATATTTTAAAACCGTTGTTACTGTGGTGTAATTCTTCTTTATATATATATATATATATATATATATATATATATATATATATATATATATATATATAATGTATGTATATGTACACTGTGGATGCAGAGCATTTTAACCAGTGGAAAGTTGTCCTATTGCAGAAATCAAGTATGCACCGATCGCTGTCGCCAAAATCATACCAAACTTGAGGTAAGCTAAAAACCGGTCTGAGCAGATATTTTCCAACATGCACGTTTAAAGCGTCTGTTCGTTAAAAACATTTTTATAAGTTTATTTGGGCAACCAACACCCAAAGTAAAAAATTCTAAATAAAGGCAATCTTGACTTTTAGGCCACTTACAAAAGGCGAAATTTTATTGATTATTGAGCCAAACCAAACTCAGTTCAGCTCCTAATGTTGTATGCTTTCGTTTTGTTCGATTCAAAGTTTTCTAAAAGATGCTCTCTTCTGTAGAGGTTAAAAATTATATAAACAGTTTCCTTCGAAAAGCTGTAAAATGATTTCAGGGCATTTAGTCAGTGATTTTAGGTTTTGGAAAACCGTTGCTGGGTACACTTCATTTTAAAACACAGGGGGACATACTCAGTGGACGTTTTTAATAACGTTAGAAAGAACTAAATGTACGCTAGAAAAAAATACTACCTGTTTCGCTCCCAATCGATGTTTTCGAGTTCGCTCCCAATTGTTGCGAAATTAAACGAAATCGCTCCCGAGTCTGGTTTAATTTTAAAAGCTTACATTTGTCTAGTTGACTTCTTAACGTTCTTAACGCACGTTCACAGGTGAGAAAAGGTTTCATGTATTATGAATAAAAAAGTGAAGTCGGGTCAGCGGCTCACCAGTTACATCACATGCTCGATTCGAACATCCAAATCCATTCACACAGATAAAAAAAAATTGATGTTGTTTATTATTGAAAACTGGATCATTGGATGAATAATGCAATTCAAGAGTTTTCATTGGCTTAGCCATCATGGTATATGGGCAATTATAGCATGCTCTAAAAGTATGGTAAGTGTACGCGTAATTTTTTGGGGCATTTTTATATTTATTTTACTTTCTAGATGTAAATTCATAATTTACTCCATGCAGCTCTTTTAGTCGCCGGAAATGTCATCTGATGACAATCAAAGACAGGCCCACATGACACCTAGGGCTTGTAACATTTCTACATTTGCCATTCCCCTTTTAAGAATTTAGGTCTTCCAACCTATGGTATTAGGCTGATTTAGCAAGAGAACGGGAATGGCAGTTGACGACGGCGCGCGCAGAACAAACACCCAAATATGGTCAAATTAGAACAGAATCCAGGTTATTCCGCATGCCCTGCAGTCGTCATCTGACCATATTTGGGTATTTGAACTGCACGCGCCGTCGTCAAGTGACGTTCCCGTTCTCTTGCTAAATCAGCCTATTGTGTTTCACATAACTGCTTTGGATGGGCATTATATGCTGTGTTCTAAGGAAGAGTTTGCCTTTTCAGTAGAGCGGAGCCATTCGACTGTGGTGTAGCAAATGTCATGTAAAAGGTCACACATGTAGGTCTGCATAGTTTCTGCTGTTAAGATGACACCCTATAATTTGCCATACATATGTTTTGCTAGTTTGGTTGGCTTTGGCTAATTTGAAAATTTAATTTTGTCTGGCTTTGTGAGAGACTGGTGTTGCCTCCCTCAGAAGACATCCATTTGACTGAGTGTTTTATCTCTTGAGCCCAGTGTTTAATTTTATCCCTCTGCTTGTTGACTTTGTTAATTATCTGATGTTCCTGCACAATTCAAATTTTTCCGACCCTTGCTGAATAACGAATGGGTCCTGGCCATCGACCAACTTTTCTAGTACTTCTTGTTGTGTTTTTTTTTTAACCTTTTGATCTTAAACATCTCTTAAGTTCTCTCGTGTGTCACATTCTGACATCAATTTCACATCTTCGGCCATTGATCTGATGAGATAATTTATGCCTGACTAAAATCTGCTGGCGGTTTTCTGATTGGCTAATACTAACAAAGGGATCCTCATCTGTTGAGCCATACCTTTGGGGGAGGAGTGCAGGCTCCTTTCCCAAACAATGGCTGCTAATCAAACCTATGCAAAACCTCCTACTACCTAAAATGTGCTCAGATGTAAGTTTCTTTCACTGGATGGTGGTAGCCTGTGTGCAGCTGTCTCCTATTTTCTCTCCTTTGGAAATACAGGAGATGGCTGCACACCATAAGAGATTCCTGCAGCTTAATGCACTTATCTGCCGCCATCCTGGGGGGTGACCCCGGGGGACATAGGGGGCACGACACAGGATTTGTTGACTTTTGTCACCAAGTTTTAGCCTGGGATGGAGGGATGGGATTGCTTTTGCTCTTTCATCGTACAATACCCGGGGAAAGACCTACTGTTACATTTTGAAAATGAGAGATTAGATCCTGGTAATGAGTGACTTTCCCCTCCATGTAAGGACTGGGTGTCAACTGGAGAATGCATTCTAAAATGGCTTTTTTTGTAGATCTGATGGATGCCAAACTATTAATTCTGTGTTGTAAACAAATGCAGGAGCAGGCAAACAGATTAAGTTTCGATTAAATTTCATCTATTTTTAACTTTCTTGAAATAGTAATCTTGCAGAACTTTACTTTGTTCCTGTTTCTTTTGCCAAATAAAAAGTATTGTAAAAATATATTCTATGAATTCTAGTTCTTTCTTACCAGGAAACAAAAATATTTGTCTCCTTTCCCATTTTTCATTCCTTGACTTACAAAGTAAGCTGAATTTCGTCATGTGCAGAAAACAGGTGTACTTAAGCTTTCTTTGTTTATATTGTATTAATCCTAATCACCATTTTATGAAAGAGGTAATATTGTTTATTGTAGCAAATAGAAAATTCTGTTACGATTTGTATTTGGGAGTCCCTCAAAATAAAGCACTTTTTGACTTGAAAAAAAAAAGAAAGAAAAAAGAAAAAAAAAAAAAATAGCATACTTGTGTAACCCCAGGGGGGGAATGACGATGGTAGCTTTTTGTGGAAAAATATTTTTCCTGGGTGGGGGTTTTGTAAATGTCGTCATTGCAAATGCCCAGGGTTTCCTCAGGCTCAACCCTCCTGGGATGGCCACTGATAAGTGCATTAGAGTAAACACTTTCTCGCCAAAACTAAACTAGAGGGCGTTCACCAATAATCTCTTTGGTATGCACTGTAATTTTCTTGTTTTCAAATTCCGATGATATTTGGCAGAAAAGGGTTTAAACATACATGTAATTATTTTTCTATCACAATTATATTTGTCACTTTGCTTGCTGTATAAGCTTGTATAGAACTCAAAGTAAAATTATTTTTCATTCATGGCTTTTTACGCCTTTTGCAAGTCTCATGTTATTCTCCTTGCAGGCCACAAGATAGGACATCTAGTCTGACAGCTTGTAAATATAATCCAAGGATGTGTCATATTATTTTATGGAACAGTGTTGCAAAATAGTAAGAGTGTTTTTACTTCAACTGTGAAATAGTTACTGAACAATTTGATATTATTAGACACCAAATCCATTGTTTTCTTTTGTTTAATTAATTTTGATTGTTAAGCACTAGTTTTAAGAGTTAAGCACAATTGATAGAGACTGGCTGTGGTCCCACCAATGCTACTAACTACAGTTAGTTTTGGTTAGTTTTAGTTAATGACGTACAAACCCAAAGTTCTGTAGTAGTTAGTGTTTGCGGTCGACTTTGCACGGACACCAGCACAGTTAACTACTCAGTTAGTTCTGATTATAGCAGATTATATGGGGGTTTAACCCATGCATCCTGCTTGGGAAAAACTTTAGTTAGTTTGTATTGTTTTGGATCACTGAGGTGTAAATTTCGAGACTATAGTTAGAGGGTGAACAGAAAAGAGGTTCCATTACCAAAATACAATGTAGCTAACTAAAGTTATCTCTGTCTTAACTTTTAAGACAAAATACGATAAAAAATCAAGCAATTTCAGGTTTTACTGGACAAAAATCTGGTACCAGAATAATTTTAAGTATTTTACAGTCATTTTTACATGTTCTTAAAGCTAAATACATAAATAATTGCATGAAATAACACCAAAAACAATTTCTCATGGGAACAAGAGAATATAAATTTCAAAGTTCAGAGAACTTATGCAAACATGGGCAAAATTGCATCATCGGTTTCATTTAACCAATACTTCCAAGTGTTTAATACGAAGCTCAACATTCGTTTTTGACATTATGGGTTGCTAGAAATGATTTTTTTGAGAAGATATTGGAAACAGTTGTACAGAAGTTTGCAGTACGATGTAAATAATCTTGGTACCAGGTTTTTGTCCACATGTTACTCGAACATCTGGTGGATTCTGTCTTAATTAGTTATTAGCCTTGGTGTGACCACAGCCACTGCCTCACGATTTAAAGAAAATCACTCTTTCTAGGAACGGACTCACAAGTCGTCTATTGTAAAGATAGCTTTTGCTTGTTTGTTTGTTCGTTTTTTACAGAACTCACCAAACCTGTGGTTTTAGCAAACAAAACACTGTGAGGTTGCCACAGTCAGGGAATTAGTCAGGGAAAGACAATAATTTTTTCAAGGTCAGGGAAAAGTCAGGAAATTTTGGTCAAGGTCAGGGAAAATGTTAGATGTTTGTCAAAGTTAGTGAAAAAGTCAGGGAATTTAATTTATTCCCTTTCAGAAAAACAGCTGGTAAAACAATTGATTTTGATACTACTCAAGTGATGTGTTGTTAGCAATAGTTTTGGTCAGTGGTTTTTGTCGTTTTTATTATTATTCACGTAGTCCAAGGTTAGCGAATATTGCTCAGAGATCAGTGAAAAGTCAGGGAATGTTTTAGTTTCCAATCAGTGGCAACCCTGATTTACAAGAACTTCTCTATGAAGAATAATATGATACTCATTTCTTCGAGAATGTAACTGAACTACATAAATATGTGTAATGTGCATTGTACAGTTTTGCAATTTTATGTACATTTTTGTGATTGGCCGATTGCTGTTAGTAACACTTTAATAATTAATTAATTTATTTATTATTGCAAATTAAATTGAGTTAAATTTGTTTTCAACATAATATCTCTAACACCTAAGGTTAAATTGGATTTAGCAAGTCACCACTCTGGGTTTTTTCCTCTTTTTGTAATTATCAATTACTCATGTATTGTATTCCAAATGTTATTGGGTAATTCAAAGTTTGCTTTCTAAGATAATACCCCACAAGTCGGTATGTGACTGTGGAACTGAACCTTACAGTTACTCAATAAGAATAAGAAGTGCTTTTAGTTAGGATCATTTAGTTTCGATTATTAAGATTATTTAGTAAGTAATAATTACTTACTAAATAATTATGGTTTTACAAGTTAAAACTCAATTGAAAACCACTACTATGAAAATCTCATCTCAAATTTAATTGCATTTTTGTAACTTTTTCAATTTTTAATTCTGTCAGTTACCTTTTTTGTTTGGGTTAATTGATTAAATTTATAAAAGTGGAGTTGAAGCAATAAAATTATTGTTGACTGATAAAGAAATTTAACAAAAAGTTTGTTACTCAATAATAATTTGTAGTGTTGAACACAACTTTTAACTTAATTTTCTAAAATTTAGGTACTGAGTGTGTAAAGTCATGTGTAACCCAAATGAAGAAATGCAAAGTGTATTCTGTTATTAATTTTTCCAAACTTTAGTTTTTGTTATTTTGGGATTACTGAGGGATTTATTGATGTTTTGCATATGATACAAAGTCTTATTTTTCACAAGAAAAATTTTACCCCCTTGTGGGGACACAATATGTGTATTTTTCATACCAACTTATGAGGACTTCACAGAAGTCCCCAGAAGTTAGGTATAGTTTAAGTAAATGCCAACTTCTGGGGACATTTTTGTGGGGACTCCAAAATGTCCCCATATTCTGACAAGTCCCCACTGCTCTGGTGTGTTTTCATATCGAAGTACCCACAAG